GGGGGGGGGGGGGGGGGGGCATCGGCCTGCAAGCAAACCTCCTGAGGCGCCCATCCAGACGTCAGCCGGTGCCCTTATCGTTGTTGTTGTTGTTGTTGTTGCCGGACACTGTGCCTTCCGCCCGCCCACCAACCCCCCTCTCTCTCCCCTGCTATCCCGGCGCCGCGGCGCATCTGTGGGCGCCCTCCCCGGGCTATGCTCAGGTTCGGGTCTCTCTCTCTCTCTCTCTCTCTCTCTTTCAGGAGGCACCTCACTCCCCGGCCCGCGCGGGCAAGGCCCAGAGTCTGGGAAGGGGCGGAGACTTTCGGCAAGCACAGCCAGCTGCACTCGAGCGACACAGGGGCCGCATGGGTGGGGCGGGCTGGCCCAAAGCACGTGGATTAAGATCACACCACAATACCAGAACGAGAAGTCCCCGGCCAGATCGGGGTTTTCTCGTCCGGGTTTGGGCGTCGTGTGCTTCCAGACACAGCAGCTTGACATTGGCCCTGCGTTCGCCCCCGCCCCCGGGGGACGGTATTTCTCGGGGAAGGGGGGGGGGGGGGGCGGCTTCGGCGGGCGCTCCCTCGGCCCGTCCATCCTCGGCGCATCTTGGAGGCTGCGCGGTCTGTGCCCCCGGCCCAGCTTCCGGCCCTTCTCCGGATGGCCGGTTTTCCAAGGAGGGACTTGGCACAGCCTGGCACCGAAGACCGAACCATTCCCACCACCGGGGGTGTGGGGTCCAACGGCGGGTCCTCGCAAAATGGTCGGGTATCTTATCGGGCACAGGCGGGCACTTTGCCACGTAGGGGCGCATTGCTCGCCGCCGGCAGACGCCCGCCGGCATCCCCGTTGATGAGGGCATGGCAGTGCCCCTCGCCCGGCCAGCAAGGAGTTGGCAGCTAGATACCCCCGCTGCTCGGCCCCCCCCCCCCCTCCCCCCTCATGTCCTCGTGCGGGGGGAGCCAGGCGTGCCAAGAAGAAAGGAGCGGGGGTGCCAGGCGCCGAGCTGGCAAGGAGATCCAGTCGTTGTGGGTGAAATCCCCCCCCCCCCCCCCCCCCCCCGGCCCACGGGGACAGCCCATCGCGCGCTCGGTGGCCAGAAGATCTCCCTGTCCCGGCCCGAGCCCGGGCACTCTTCCATTCCCGGGCTCCGTGATAGGCTCCCCGTCCGGCCCCCGGGTAATCTCGGCTTTCAAAACGCCCCGGCCGCGATCCATTGCCACAGGGGAAGCTCGCGGGCCGGGCGTGTCCGTGGGCGTTCGGCGCGACCGAAGATACTCCCACGGCGAGGGGGCCTGCTTCGTGGCGGGATGCCAGGCAGAGCCCGAGTCTTGGGAGGGGATCCTTGGGTGTGGGCCCAGGGTCTCGAGGCCCGGTTCGTTGGTTGGGCATTTCGGCAGGGTGGGGCACGCCGTGTTGGCTCTTCCAGCCGGGAAGGGCAGACATGCGTGCGAGGCCCCCACGGGGGGCCGATGAGAGGAGACTGCCCACCCCCTGCCCTGTTCCTCCTCGAGGATTGCCCCCTTGCCCCAGGCACCCGGGCATGTTTACCGTAAATGTCCAGGGGAGCCGGGAGAGCTGGCCGTCCTCGGGAGGGAAGAAGGAGAGAGAGAGAGAGGGCCCGAGGGAAAGACTGGCCTACCGGCCCGGGGCGATGCCCAGGACGCAAGCCTCTCTCTCTCTCTCTCTTTCGCCCGGCCGCCGCACAGAATACCTCCCTTACCCCGCCGCCAGGAGGCCGGGGAGGCAGGGGATGGCAGGCGGCCGGGGGCATGTGAGCACGCCGCAAGATGGCCGATGGGGGGTGGTGCTGAGGAGCGCGCGATGCGAGCCTGCCAGAGCCTCCCCCCGTGTGCACAGGTGCCGTCCCGGTGCTCGGGCCTGTCGCCGAGGTCGAAGAGCATCCGCCGCGAGATCAGGGAGGAGTATGAGCCCCTGTAAGCAAGACCATACCCCTCGTGCCTCCTCATGCTACCTGCCTCTCCATCTTGCCTCTGTGCCATCCCCCTTCCCTGTCCCGCTCCGTTCCCTGCCACCCTCTTGTGATCTCTTTCTCCCTCTCGCTCTTGTCCACTTGTGCCTCTTTCCCCTGGCGGTCCGACCTCGCTCTCTCCAGCTCCCGCTCTTGGGCGCTCATCGCCCCTTGCCTGCCCATCCGCGCGGAAACCAGCCGGAGCTCTTTTTGATCCCTCCCCACCACCACACACAGACACACAGACAAACACATTCGCGCGCGCGCGCACATACCCATCCCTGAAGCCAAAGCGCCTCACCACACCAGCTGAGGCCTTGTGGACGCCCACCGTGGTACCCGGGCAACCAATCACGAAGGCGTAATCCCCCCCTATCGCCGGCCGGGGATCCTACCCCGCGATCTAGCCCTCTGTCGCCGAGCCTAACACCCCATCGTCGAGTGCGTGCGTGTGGGCGTGCGTGCGACCGACGCCAGCCAAAGCACCGGCAGGCATGACCGATCACCAGCCCCGGCCGGCCGAGCGGCCAGCGGGTTCCCCCCCGCCCACGAGGGGTCCCGTCATGCAGGTCCATGTGCCGATTCCGATTGCCCGGAAGCGGGGCCTGACGGCACCAGCCCCCCTGCAGACATCCGGCCTGCCTGGTCCGCGGTATGGTGTTGATGCGCCGATCTCCGGGCGGGCGCCGAGCATGGCCGCCACCGGGCCCGGCCATGCCACGGGCCCGTGCCCTGCCAGCGCCTCCAATGACCTGACCGATGAGGACCCCGCGTCCGGAAGCCGGCCGCCGGTGGCAGACCGCCCGCGCTCCCAGTACTTCGATGCCATCGAGATCCCGAACAGGCGGCCGAGCGACTGGCAATCCGGCAGCCCGCCACTGGACGTGTCCATCCCCTTGGAGCAGCTGGTCATCACCCCGAGCGGAGGCCGTTACGGCCCCCGGCGAGGGTCCCTGGCCCGGCGGTGCCCCCTGTCCGGGGTGGTGCTGGCTACCGAGGGCCCGGGCCGGCGCCCCGGCGCCCTGGGCCCCGGGCCCGGGGCCAGCTGCCCAGGCACATCGATGGCGGCGGCGGCGGCGGCGGCGGCGGCGGCTGCCGCCACCCTCCGACGTGGCCGTGCCCCTGGGAGTGCCTCAGCCCATTTGCAGCGCATCTCGCTTGGTTGTCGGCCGGCGGCGGCGCGTGCGATCGGCCTCGGTGGGCCGATGCGCCTGCCCTCCCACCGCCAGCTCCTCCGGCGGCGGCGGCGCGCGCGGCGGGCCACTGCCTCCCCGCTGGAGGCCTATCTTGCCCTGCTCCGGCGATTGAGCTGTGATGGCGGCGATAGCGGCGGCCCTGTCCAAGGGCCAGCCACCAACACGCTGATCACCGCCTCCGCGGTGGCGCCCCTGACCGAGCCGCGTCCCGACATCGGCGCCGGCCGGCCGACTGCCCTGCCGGGGCCGGTGCTTGGGACCGCACCGGTGCACCCTGCTCCGGCCCCGGCCCCGGCCCCGGCCCCGCTGGCCAGCACCCCGGCCAGTCCCCCACGCAAGTACCAATCCTTCTCCATCCTGTCGGCCGGGTGCTCGGGCAGTGGCGGCTCGTCGGCCGTGCCCGCGCATGGCCCCGGGGACCTGGCCGACCGGATGCGCCAGCTCCGACTGGTGCAGATCCCGGAGAACTACGATGCCGGGGGCGGGTCGCGCCCTGGGGCCGGGCCCGCCGGCGTACCGGTCCCGGAGGCGCCTCTGCTGTCGCTGCAGCGCCGAGCATCCAAGTCCAAGCTGGCCGGCGGCAGTCCACAGGCGCAGGCCAAGCTGGCCTCGCGCCTCCTCAGCCGCGAGGAGGTCGGCTCCCCGACGGTACGCCTCCCCCCCCCCTCTCACATGCGGGCCCACAGCGGTGTGGCATCTGTCAGTGTGTGCCGGTTTTGGACCCGCGGCCCCCCTCTTCCAGCTCGCGGTACTGATGGTCAAGTGGCCTCCCCTAAACACCCTGTGCCTGGCCCTGCCGGCCTGCCGCTACGTCGGGATCTGTGCCAACATCGGGCTGACAGGGGGCCGGGGGCGTCGGCTCGCCTGGAAGTGGCCGGCGCTTCCACGCCGATACACGCTCCGCCCCACCGAGCCCGGGGAATATGGCCATGCAGCTGTTGGCCGGCATCAAGAAGCTGGTCCTCCGGTCGCTGCCGGCATCGCCGATGAGCCGCCGCACCGGGGACGACGCCTCCTCGGCTGCCAGCACCCCGTCCTTGAATTCCTTCTTCACCCCCTTCAGCCCGTATGTGTCCAACACCCCGGGAGGGTCCTTTGCCCCGGGGCCCAGCGGGCTGGTGCCCTGTCCGGCATCCGCTTCGCCGAACGGCTTCCGCCTGGTGGTGTCGCCGCCGACGCCGGTCTTCGGCGATGTCAACCACCTTGGTGGCAACACAATGGCCGGCAGTCCGGCCGCGCCGCCGGCCCAGCCGCAAGGTAGCTGGGCCCCGGCCGGGCCCTCGGCCGGTGGGGCGCCTGGCGATTTTCCCGGCCCCGGGTCGGCCACCATGCCGGTCACCCCGGTTGACGCGGGTCCCAAGGGGGAGTGTCCCCCGGTAGGGGGCGCAGCCTCGGTGGTGGCGGGGCCCGGCGCGGGGGATCGCTCTCACGCGACCGAGAGTCGGGCCCCCGTGCGAGACGAGGCTCCCGCCGCCATCGCGGCCATTGCCCCGACGGGGCCCTTCGACGACGGCCCGGGGCCATTGCAGGTCCGTCGGCCGGCCGGCACGCGCTCATCCACACAACCCGGCAGGGGCAGTTACATCCTGCGGCCTTCTCGCACCTCCCGTGTGTCTGACTCTCCATATCCCTCTCTCTCTCTCTCTCTCTCTCTCGCTCTCTCTGCCCCTACCCCCTCCGCCCTGCCTGCATCTCGTACCTCCTGTTTCCCCTCCGCATGGAATGCAGAAGCAACCCCCGCCAGAGCCACGCGCCACCACCCGGAAGCAGGTGAAGTCGCCCATCCTGCGGGCCCTGCCACAGGACCCGCCTTCCTTCGAGGAAACCGACGCCGTGACCGGCATGGGCGCCGACGGCGAGCACGCGAGCCAGCATCTGCCTCAGTCGGAGCAGCACGCCTCATCGACCGCGGCCACGGCCATCACGTCACCCTCTGGCGTTGGGGCCGGGCTCCGGGCCCCGACCAAGGAGGAAGCCGCCCGGCGCGAGGTGGAGCTTGATCGGTTTCTCTGGTCGGACTCCGAGAGCCCGGAGCTTCGTCAATACGAGGTGGTCAAGGAATTGAACCAGTGCGTGGGGCTTGCTGCTGCTGCTGCTGCTGCTGCTGCTGCTGCTGCTGCTGCCGCTGTTGCTGCTGCCGCTGTTGCTGCTGCTGCTACTGCTCTTCCCTCCCCCCTCCAGACGTCCGCGCATGTGCCCCACCATCTCCTGAGGCGCGACTCACTGACAGGCACCCTTCTCCCCGCCATTCCTGCCTCCCCTTCGATCGGGCTGCCGGGGGCCTCCTCGCAGCGGGGCCTTCGCCCGGGTGTTCCACGTTCGGCTGAACCGCAAGTCCCCGGCCGGGGGCACCGGACCAGCGGCCGGGTCCGGCCCGGGGGATAACCGCGGCCTCGGCGGCCCGAGCCAGGTGTTCGGCGCCAACCAGACCGGCCGGCCGGCGGACTTCGCCCTGAAGCGCATTTCCAAGCGCAAGCTCACCCCCCGCCAGCGGGCCAACACCCGGCGCGAGGCGGCCATCCACGCCCGACTGTCGCCCCCGGTGGCCCTCGGTGGGACCGGTGGCCATGCGAACCTCGTTCGGCTGTATGCCTGGTTCGAGACCAAGGAGGCCTTCTATCTGGTCCTCGATCTGTGCGTGACTGCGCGGCCTCGCGCCGCTGGCCCCTTTCCGGTGCCTTTGTCTTTTGGTCAACCGGCGTTCCTCTTCTTTTCCGCCATCGCACACACCTCTCCCCGGGGGCGGGCGGGCACCTATGCCAGGAGCGCGAAGACCCGCTCGGGCTCTCACCATGGCCGGTGCCCCGCCTGCTCGAGTCGGGGGGGGGGGGGGGGGGGGGGGGGGGGGGGGGGGAGGGGGGGAGGGCGGGGCGGGGACCCCCCCGGGGGGGGCGTGGCCCGGGGGGGGGCGGGGTACGGCCGTGTCTCGAGCGGAGGCTGGTTCCCTTCACACTGAGACAGGGGGGCGCGGAGGGGGGAGGGGCCGGCAGAGGGGGAGCCTGTCCCGGCCCTCGGGGCCGACGGTTTGTGCCTGTCTTTGGGTGGCCGGGGGGCCGGCAGGGCGGATCGGCCGCTGTTGTTTGCCCGCGAAAATGTCACCTGCCTTTCGGCCGGCGCTAACTTGCCCCGATCCCGATGCCGGTCGCGTTCTGTCGGACAATGTGCGCCCCCCATGCCTGGTGAAGGATGCGCGGCGGGGAGCTCTTCGACCGCCTGGAGCAGCGCGGCCCCGCCACCGAGGACCACGCGCGCACCTTGATCGTCGGCGTGGCCTCGGCCCTGGTACACCTCCATGACCATGGCATCGTCCATCGGGACATCAAGCCCGAGAACCTGGTTTTCGCCCACTGGGTCGACCCTATCGACATGTATCCGCCGGCCGGGCCCGGGTGGGGCGGGCCTGCGCGGCCGAGCACCACCGACTCCGGGGATGACATCCCCTGGCACGGGCCGGCCGGCGAGCGCTTGCTTCTGTGTGACTTCGGCCTGGCCAAGTCCCTGCTGCCGATTGGCACCTCCCGCCGGGCCCGGGCTGGAGGCAATCCACCGGGGGCGGCTCCGACCGCGGGGACACCGTCGGCCGCCGGCAGCAGCAGTGTCACCACGGCGGCGGTGGCGGCCGGCCGGTCGTCGCACCTGTCGGCCCTGGCGCAAGCGGCTTCCTCGATCGCCTGCCAGGCGGCCCAGGCCACTTGGGCCTCGATCGGGACGAAGACCGGCCTCGGGTCGGCCGCCGAGCAGCCCCAGCAGCATGCCCCGTCCGCGGCGGCTTCCACGCCGCCCCAAGCCACAGCCACCGCCGGGGCCCGGCGCAATGTGGCGGCCGCGCATCTCCAGCAGCAGGAGGGGGCCGGGCCGTTGCCGGGCCCGTCGCCGGAGGCCCCGAACTCCGAGCACTATGGCCCTTTGCGGCCCTTCGCCGAGACCCCCTGCGGGACGGTGGGCTACCTGGCGCCGGAGGTGGCCGCGGCCAAGCGCCACGACTTCTCCGTGGACATCTGGGCCCTGGGGTGTGTGCTATTTGCCCTGCTGGCGGGCTATCCGGCGTTCTACGATGAGGATCAGCGCGTGCTCACCGACAAGGTGAAGCGCGGGGACTTTGGCGGGTTCCCGGCTCCCTGGTGGGATGGCATCTCGGAGGACGGTACGCCACAGACCCAGCACAGCATGCCACCTGAGCATCGGGAGGGGGGGCGGGCGGGGGGGG